AGTTAGTAATTCGTTCACATTTTTATGCGAACATTAATGCATAGTCGTAACATGCTGTGTAACGCCAGAGACATTTAGTATTTAGTGATGATGTTCATTTCCATTATAGATGCGTTTCTCACAGATGTCGATTACATGATATAGTCTTAGTCTAACTGAACATCATTACTGAATACAAATAGACCTGCACAGTTGCGACGTTCTACTAAGCCATTAGTTGTAAAATTAGTTATGATAAAGATTGGTTTAGAATGTTGCTACTACAAGTTCGTTACATTTATCTCTTGCGCACCTGTTTGGCAATTCTGTCCCTGGTAACCGATAGGACAATTGCAGATGTAAAAGTCAACATGGTTTACACAGAATCCACCATTCAGGCATGGGTCACTACTGCAGAAATCGTAAGCTACGTATCGGATAAATTATGTGTTAGTCTGGTTTGCACGAGAAATCACGAATTTACATTATTTATATAGAAATGGTTCAATTCCCGGAATTAATATAAAACTTGTGAAGATTTTACGTAAATTTACTTTAACCCAGCTATTACCCTTACAGAAATTTACCATTTACGAAATTCGTCCCTGCTTTAAAGCACTTGGTGAGGCATCTTTAAGCGCGTGAGTTAATTATATGCACACGTTACTGAAAACAAAATCCACACGCATTGTTAGGTAGGTATTGTTAAATAGCTCCTACGTTTTTAAACTCGGGTAAAGTGAATATACTATTAACACAACACCAAGCAACACAAAAAGATGTATATGTTACATATGGCCGAGTTACTCACATGGTTGTATTTGACAGTTGCTACCACTGTAGTTATTGATACATGTGCACGAGTACGATGATCCTATTACTTGACATATGCCTCCATTCTGACATGGATTTGTGCTGCATGGCGTTCCTACAACATATACAACGTCATAACAGTAAGCACCAATATGATGGCAATACTAGTATATAATTATTTTAAACTATCAAACATTCCTAATGGGTGTAGGTGAATCACGTTGATGTACCCATTCATTCATTGTGAACATGATCAAATCGGGGTATTTAACATACTGATTTAGGAACAGAAATTAGCTTATATAGAATTCTGTTCAATATCAATATCTCGCAAATTTTTCTGGTAAACTATCCATTTCGTATTTCATTGTTGACATTTGTTTTCTGACGCTATGTGAAACAAACAAGGAAGACCCTAATCATCTTTTTACTATCATTATTTTCCCAAAGATTTAATCTAAATGAACACCTTTGCGTTTCATTACGGATAGTTAGAAGATGATTTTACAATATGCAATTCCTATAAGAAGTGCCCTCTGTCGACGACGTCAAAATGACGTAGTTGGTTTCAAGTCGACATTTCTCTTGTCAGCGTCGAATTTGTATTACGTCATTTAAATTATAGAATATCCATAAAACAGTAGTTGTCCATTGACAAGCGACCACGGACCAATATATGGACGGTGTGAACGGCGTTTCTCACGTCACATATTAGTTTCGTCTCAAGAGGGCGATATTGTATTGTACACATACTAACCTACATATGTTTCACAACGATTACCAATATACCCATTTTGGCAGGAACATAAGTAATAACCACCATAGTCCTGGCACGTACCACTATTATAACAAGGTGAGCTGCTACAAGCACTGCTAGCTGCAATATATTTAGTTAATATATTCATCAGTTACGTAATACATATAAGATTGGCTTCGAAATACTTCCGCTATTACGGCCTTTAAACATGTGTATAATTCCCTGTTTTATGACGTCATATTACAGGATTAAATTATCTTAACTGCGAGCTGTAGTATTCAATAATTGAATGATATTCTTACTTTGTATCTCACATCGCGTACCCGAATAACCCGATGCACACAGACAGTTGTAGGAACTGGTGTAGTCTATACACTGCCCTCCATTCAGGCAAGGGTTACTGTTGCACGGCACTGCGTAAGTAAAACACAATATACAGGTTAATGCTATGAGGATGACGATGCGAGGCGTGATTCCAATTCATACCAAGGGGTGTTATAGGCGTTATTCTCGTCCGAACAATTTAATAAAATATGAGTATGTAAAACTACGGTTTTGCAGTTGAGAATTTTCTGCTAATATTGAATTTCCGATTGTGTACGCTGTAAAGGTATGCTTCAGTGATCTGAAATACCATATCCCTATTTCTGATTTCCTATATTACAATAGAGCTTTAAGACGGAAATGGCCGCCGAGATCTCGTTTAGAGAAAGCGAGCCACATGACTTTTTTTTTGCTGTTTCTAAATACCACGGTTACAGAGGTCAGGGGACAGTGTGCGCAATGATGGGCGAAAGCGGCGCGGAGCACTTTTTGAGGGGAAAAAACAAATCGCGTGGTTCTCTCGTTCTCAAAGAGATCCCGGCGTCCATTGTCGTCCATTGTCAATTACGAATTCGGCCTTTATTTCGCCTCACTACAACTGTAGACAGCATAATATTAATTAAGATAATTTTAGAACAACCACAAATAACTTACAGCTGGTCACAACTTGACAGTTTGTACCGGTGTATCCAAAAGAGCACGAACACTGGTAGTACGAATTGTAGTTGATACACACTCCACCATTTTGACAAGGAGAACTCAGGCACTTGTTGGATACAACTAAATACAATTAAGATACATATTACACAAAATGAAAACATAAGCAACTTTCAACAGATAACAATAGCTGTAACAATGCAATGGAATAGAACAATAGCTTCATTCTCGCTTTGTTGGTCTATGGAGATAGAGGGACTGTGGTCTGACGCCGAAAGCCAGTTACTTATTACAATCAATCGGCGCACATATCAGCTGGCTGTTGGTGAGATATATGCGGGATATTTGAGACAAGACTGAACACGAGACCATATAAAAATAGACTACATTGACCTCGTATAACCCTTACCTTCACAGTTCTGTCCACTGTAGCCTGACGGGCATGAACACGCATACGACGTAGTGTAACTAATGCACTGCCCTCCATTTTGACAGGGGTTATTGGCGCATGGGTTCGGTGATACTGATGGATAAAAAGATTATGCTCTCCGTGTTAATGGTACATATAGAACCAAACAAATATTCCTGTGATAAACCTTCAATTATAGAAGGTATACTTACTATGTGATTTGGTAACAGATTACCAGATATCGAAACATTAGAGAATTCGTGAGAAATGTTTGTCGGAATACAATATTGGTGTGTGACCATCAAAGATGCACCAAAGTGCTCTACTCTTACCATTAATGCACAAGATATGTAATAGCCTTGGTACTTGTAGCAGCTCTATTTTGTCGCCTTAAGCCGTACCAGTTATTCGTCACTATAATATATATTATCTCCTAATAATCACACATCTAGCAGTAGAATTAAGCGGTTTTGCATTCATTCCAAACAATTTCTGCACTTGTTCGAACGTTTGAATTCCCCCCTAATGTGGGGCTAACTACGTTACGCGTTTAAGATTATTGACGTCAAAATCGAACCCATTTATTCACAGCGGACACCCAAGCGTTATAGCTCTGAGTCACTGAACGCAAACGTTCAACCCTTTGCTACCATTCAGGACTGTTATTTTCCTTTACTTTATAATAATAATAAGCAGCTGAAAGTTGTATAATAATAAGGTTATCGTGAGTATACCGCAAAGTATGCACGTAGGCAGTTTGGGAACGCATGGATCGCTGCTAGGCGACGGCCGATACGATTGGCAAACTGACTTAACACATACTTTTGCGGTATTCTCACGATAACGTGATAGCATAATACTAAAACTTGCACCATTTATCTCATTATGTTTAGCTTCGTAACCATGCCAATGAATCAGGACTGATTACCTTCACAGTTCAAACCAGTATATCCCGATGCGCACACGCATTGGTAGTGCGTGTTGTGGTTGATGCACTGACCGCCATTTTGGCAAGGGCCGCTCAGGCAAAGATTTGAAGGTGGTACTACGGAGGAGATAGTGCGACGATGAGTAAAGACATATAAGGAGTGAGGAACAGAAGATGATTGGATTTAGAGGGTTTAAAAGATATGGGTAAAACAAACAGTTTAAACGCAACTTTTTATTATGATCGTTTGTTTTCAGATTTGCTCGTAAATTTTATCCAAGGCATATAGTCAATCAGAAATCTTGTCAATTTGATTTAAAATTATCAAAGAAACCAATGAAAAACACAAAAATATACAAAATGTCAAGCAAAGAAAAATGCGGAAAAATTACGGGGTTCTAAGAATTGGGTAGTGAGTATAATTCAATTCAAGAGGCTGATAGAAACTATCGTAAAACTGGGTTAGTTTTAGAGCTATCGGAGGAAAGTATGTAGTTCGGAACGGTGACAAATACATTAATTATCTCACCTTGATTCTCACAATTAGTGCCGTAATAATTGGATGAACACGAACAGATGTAAGAGTTTCCATTTTTGATGCACGTGCCACCATTTTGGCAAGGAAAGCTGTAGCATGCATCTGAAAGTAAGAAAAATGTTTGTTTCTCTTCCTATTAAGTACGAGACTCGATATCAAGATGGTGATAATGCAGAGGGGGATTCAGGTGACAGTGATGACGTAATTCAACAACTTACATGTTGATATATGATCGAGTGTGTTCGGGGTTGGTGGGGTCGGTGAATCACGTCACGATACTATCCAGGACGAAAGGGCAACGCATGGTCCTTTATTCTCTAAAACTACATTTATAAAGTTTGATAGTCAAATAATTTGTTCTTAAAATCTCAAACTTTCTAGACTGGTTAACACTCCAGAATGAGAAAATTAACATTTTGGGTAAGTGTGACGTGTTAGGTTGTCGATAACAGAGAATGAACAACTAAGAATAAACAGGATAACTTTTTTGGATAGTACCGATACCATGAAAAGGTTGATTACCTGTATTTTGACAGTTCGTTCCAGTGTATCCAGTTCGACAATTACATGTATACGAGTTTGCGCTTTGTATACATATGCCGTTGTTTAAACACGGAGAACTACTGCATGGATTCGATACTGCAAAGGGTAAAAATAGATTTTGTGTTGAATGTTGCCCGACAACCCGTCAACCCTAGTGAATACAGAATGTTGCATATCACATCGACCGCAATTAAATACACAATTGGTTTATCCAACTCAAGTGTCGGTTCACACATCAGGTTCACACCTCTACTAGGTGACATATAAGCTATATACTTTTACAACTGGTTCGGGTCAAAATTACACTACTGTGTACTGTATGCGACAACCGGTAACAGAACAACGTTTTGATAATCACTGAAAAAAATTTCTTATGAAAATATTATTATGACACAAAGTCGAATATGAGTATGTGTAATACAAATTATAAAATATAAGAATATCAACTATATAAACCCCATTACTATGGAAACGGAGAAACCGCATGCAAATATATGACTATGTAACCATTGTGCAATATCAATGAGGGAGTGGTGCATTGAACGAGAAAAAGTTAGAATACCTGAGAAAGCACAATTCTGGCCGTAAAAGCCAGCCCGGCATGAACAAGAATAATAGGTTCCAGATAACATGCATGTAGCACCATTCTGACAGGGATTGGGGTTGCATAGATTATTTCGAACTAAATGGAGAATATGGAGAGAAGGTAAGGCTTTAATTATCATGCAAATTTCAACACTAGAATACCACAAAAAGAACCACGTCTTTCCACCCATACACAAACATTTCCTTATATTCTAAAACGAAATGGTAAATGGGATATAGAATATGTACTGAATGTATGATATGAAATATGACAGAAAAAATGTGTGACATTAGATGATGTGATATACGAGAGATGATATGTGATATATGAGAGATGATATGTGCTATATGAGAGATGATATGTGATATGTTAGAGATGAGAGATGATATGTGAGAGATGAGAGAAGATATGTGTTATGTGATAGATGATATGTGAGAGATAATATGTGATATATGAGAGATGATATGTGATATATGAGAGATGATATGTGATATATGAGAGATGATATGTGTTAT